CAGGCCCAAAGAATCCTGTTCCGCGCCTCCATGAGAATTCCGCCGGCGCCATTTATTTTGATCCCGTGGCAGCTGCCCGTGTCCCTCCATCAATTGGGCTTTAGCCCAATTACTTGTTGTGGAAGAAACATGGATCCAATTCCTCCCGCCATCTCCTGTTTCGGAAGTTCCAGTGCTGCCATTTTATCTATCTTTTCACCTAAACACACACCAAAACTCCAACACAAAATGGTAATGGCTTTTCAACCATTACGGATTAATTCTTCCTAAAATAGCACCAATCGGCTTAAACATACCATGAGATAATTACATAAAGTCCAAGAATCCGATATATTAAAGCTGAATATCACAACCCCACACTCAATTGTTGCTTTTCCCTAAGCAACGACTCAAAAAACACAAACACATAACCATCCAAAACAATGACACACCACAGACTCACTAATCAAACACTCAAAGCAAAACACAAAATTTTCCTTGTACTCTTGTTGTAATCAGTAGTTTCTTTCTCAACGGACAAGTTGTGCTTTAATGGTCATACCTTTCACCCCACACTCAAGTTCTTTGCAACCATTACCATTGATTGACTCAAATCCATCAAAAACTCAATTAGCAACACTCAATTCAGATCGTCGGTAGTGGGTGATTAACAACTTATGGTGCAACAATTATTAGGAGAATCTAACCACATCAGTGAGGTGCATATCTCGTGAGGACAATCTGGCTTACTCACACCAATCATAAGCAATCAATTAAGCATGAGTCTCTAAAACTAATGGGGGAAGCCTTTCGCAAACATGATTTTACTTTAAGCACATCACTACCTTTTATGACAAGGAGAGGCTTTCTCTCTTTCTGCTTTTGCTTGCCGAGAGGTCGTATTTAGTACAAGTGGGATTTGTTTCTTACTACCGATGACCGAGCAAGAGCAATTTCTGCTTCTTAGCACTCGCATAAGGGCTTCTTTTAACTCCTTTTCCTCGGTCTGTGGAGGGTCATTTCATCCTCAAATGGTACTTCACTCAACTGGGGATCTTACTCGATAAGCAACATCGTACGGTCGCAAACCGATTCTCAATTGAATCTTTCCTCATCCCCATGTGCAATGAGTGATTGCTCACACGATTTTGGCATTTTTACCCACACTTTAATTGTTATGGCAACTTCCTTATATTTTACTTGTCAGGTAGTGTTTTCTTTTATGAAGATACAGTTCACCCCATAATAAAACATTCAAAACAGAGAAACTCGTTGCCAAATCAAAAGCTCACAATTGATGCAAGTAAGCACGGTATCCAAACATGTCGAATGGTCAATGTTCTCCACCTAACTACTTCACCAAAAGTCATTACACTATCCTCACAAAAGAGAATGTTGCTAAAAGAGTTTGCTCATTCAAAGCATATCAAGTCAGTCAAAACATTCAAGCTCATTGTGAAGAACCATGCAATTCAACACTAGTGGGGGTGATTTTGATGATTTCATTCAAGCACAAACTCATTTTCAAAGCATCACAGTCATTTACATCATGTTACCACAAGAGTACAAGGTTTTGTTTTTAATTTTTCTAATTTTTAGGTGTTTTTTAGCCATTAACTTTGCGCAGGCAGCCTGCTTTTTACACAGGCAAACTGCATGCAGTTTGGCTGTGCTCAACCTAATGGGTATGGAGCTTTCAACCAATGGGTATGGAAAGGTATCCAGAATACCCTCCCGAGCAATGATAGAACGCATACCCTCCATCCAACATATGAGTCACCTCTGCAGGGCCAGGTGTGCCAAAATTGGGTATGACCTTCTTAGCTTGCATGTTGGACCCTTTAGTGAGGCGTAGGTGGTATTGCAGTGCCTCAAGCAAGTACTCTTCTTGTTTCAATGTTAGTGAAGAAGGAATAATGACAGGAAGATTGAAATCCTTACCCAAATATCTATACTTGAGGTGATCTGGCAAGGATTTCTGCCCTTGCTTTGATTTCAGACTTTGAGTTGCTAGGGCATGTGATACTTCAGCTGATCCACTATAACAGGAAGATGAATTTTTCCTTTCTCGAGCTCCACTTTCAAGGTCATCAATTGCATCGTGATTATGATCAACTTGAAAGACATTAAAAATTTCCTCCTCCTTACCTACTCGATATGTCAACTTGCCTCTCCCAACATCGAAGAGTGCATCGCCAGTTGCTAGAAAAGGTCTGCCGAGAATTAGAGGCACTCCCTGATCTTCTTCCATCTCCAGAATCACAAAATCTGTAAGGAGAATAAACTTCCCCACCTTCACCAATACATTCTCCACCACTCCCTTTGGGATTTTTACTGATCGATCAGCCAATTGGAGTGTGATCCGAGTAGGTTTAAGAACATCTCTCAATCCCAATTTCTTGTAGACTGAGTATGGCATCAAATTAATTCCTGCTCCAAGATCACAAATTGATTTATCGAACTCTCTACCTCCAATAACACATGGAATGGTGAAACTGCCCGGATCATCCCTCTTTTCTGGTAATTTATTCTGAATCACGGCACTACATTCAGAAATAAGGGTTACCTTCTCCAGATCAGCCCATTTGCGCTTCTTTGTCAGCAACTCCCTTAAGAATTTAGCATATGTAGGCATCTGTTCAAGTGCCTCCGCCAATGGTATGTTGATATGAAGTTGCTTGAAGATATTCACAAATTTCTTGAAGTTTAGGTCTTCCATGGGCTTCATTAACCTTTGAGGGAATGGCGCGGGAGGTTCATAAGGCTTTACCTCTTCATTCTTCAATTTTTCCACTTTTTGAGGTACACGGGCAGCATGCTTTTGCACAGGCAGGTTGCATGCAGTTTGCCTGTGCAAGTCAGATTTTTCAGCTTTTGCACTTTCTTCATCCTCTACCTCTGCAACTCCTTCTTTTTCAGATTTTGTTGACTTCCTTGAACTCTCTGGATCCTCCATGGCCTTTCCATTCCTCAAGGTGACGGCTACAACCATGGCGTCCTTTGGATTTCTCTCAGTATTTGCTGGTAAAGTCCCAGGAATCCTACCTTGAATATCTGCCAAAGTTTGAGCCATCTGTCCTATTTGCCTCTCCATAGCTAGCATAGACGATTGTAAATTATTGTTGATGGCTAGCTGTTGAGTGACAAATTGATCCAGGCCCTTGAAATTATTGTCTGTTTTCTGCATATGAGCCAAAATCAACTCCTCCAGCTGGGGCTTCTTCTCTGGTTGAGGCTGCTGTTGTTGAAAACCAGGAGGTGGGATGTTTCGAACACCAGCTGGATTATTATTCGACCATGACATATTGGGGTGATGTCTCCATTGAGGGTTGTACATATTTGAATACATACCACCTTGGCCTTGACTTCGCGGATTATTGATATACTGGACATCTTCCAACTAAGCAGCTCCCAGTGGACACATATTCCTATGATGAGGACCCTCGCAAAGTTCACATGAAGCAACCTCCTCTTGTCTACCAAGAGCAATCTTGGCCAACCTTCGTTCGAGTGCATCGAACTTAGAATCCAGCTTGGCATCTATCTTGGCTTCTAGACTTGCAACTCTGTTTATTTCATGCAAGCCTCCACTTCTTCGAATACTGGTCTCACTACCCCATTCAGTGGCTTCTGAACAAATCTTCTCTACTAGATCATATGCTGCTGGTGCCTCCATGCTTGTGAAACCATTTCTAGAAGCATTATTCAGGGCATCCCGGAACTCCCTTCTGATTCCATTGAAGAAAATAATGATCACGTTCCAATCTTCAAGACCATGGCTTGGGCATCTCATCAACAGTCCCTTATAGCGCTCCCATGCCTCAGTCATACTCTCATCATCAGCCTGCTTAAAAGTAACAATATCTTCTTGCCTCTTCATTGCCAAGGCAGGTGGGAAGTATTTATCCAGAAAGACCTTCTCAAGCTGAGCCCATGTCGTGATGGAATGTGGTGTTAAGTTCTGAAACGAGTGAGATGCATTCCCTATCAGAGAGAATGAGAACATCCGAAGACGGATTGCATCATCAGACACAGTCGGGCTCTTCATCGTATCACATATGCTCGCGAACCGACGGAGATGCTCGTGAGGATCCTCACTGCTAGCCCTAGAGAAAGTATACCCATTGGTGATCATGTTGATGAATGCTGGGGTAATCTCCATGGTTGCATCCCCAGCCGGAATGACAACACATGAAGCTCGGCTCCAGTCCTCCGATTCAGACGAGCCCTGATGGATCGATCCTGTTCTGCCATGATGACAGGCTCGATAATGCTAGGTGGTGGTGTCGGTGGTGTAGGGATGACAGGTGGTGACGCCTGCCTTCTCGGTTGACGATTCTGAGTTAGGGAAGGCCTAGGAGTTGTGGATGTGGTAGGTTGCTTCCCTAACTTGACCTGCTTCCTGTTCTGTCGGCAGGTCCTCTCGATCTCGGGATCTAGTGGCAGTAAATTTCCAGTCGTCCTCCTTGGCATGCACGAGGAGGATAAACCTGAAAAATTCACCTACACACTAACACCCAGATCAAAATAGTTCACTCACAAAAATCAACAAAAATAAGGTATGGCAGTCCCCGGCAACGGCGCCAAAAACTTGATAGGTCAAAAGCGTATGCCTTAATCCTATCTTGTAGTAAACCGGAAAGTCCGGGTATCGTCTCTCAGGGACTGGTACAACCTTAAGATTTACCGATTTAATAGAGCAAACTATAGGTGAAATGTTTAATGAGATGAAACTATGATCTACTAGCAAAGTAATTAAACAAAACAAGCAAATTAAAATGTCGGGTTTAATTCAATGGGAGAAAGCTCTGGGAGAAACACCGGGATTCACTACCTATCCGATTCAGATTAATTCACATATTCTAATCAGTTTAATCCAACTCTCTACAGCCAAGATATCACGAATGTGCTAGCTATCCCTGTCGGGAATTACTACGTACTAAATAATCAATTCAAATCCTACTGTCGTAGCTCAATGAATTAACTATATAGTCTGAAGATCGATATCCTATTTAAGACCGCATAGCACCTTATTTAATCCACCATCGCTTCGATAAGTTACTATGTCACATGAAATATGTTCAGTTATTAGGGTTTCACTGTCGCTAATAACCTAATTAACTACAAATCGTTGTATGTGTGGCCAGTCAACACAAAGCATTAAGCAATTTCATGCAATAGAGATTGGAAGAAAAGAATCATAAATCAATCCATCAAATCAAGAAATAGCTACATCCTATGGTGTTTCCCCCAGAAATTGGGGTTTAGTTCATGACGAAATTAAGATAAAACGATAAGATTTTGTTCATCATGTTCTAAATCAACAAGAAACAACTAATTCGGTTTAGAAAATCCAACCAACTAATCGCTCTCGTTGAACTCAGCTCAAACCGCCTGGAAGCGATTGAGAATCGCCTGGTCGCCTTTGTTGTGTGCTCCGTGCGCTGCGCCCTTACTTTTCTCTCCAAGAATTCGCGTCTCCTCAAAACAATCACCCCACTCCTAAATTGCCTTCTGCTGCCTGCTTTTCTATTCCGTCTCCTCCCGACCAATAATCCCCTCCTTCCGTCCTTTTTTCCTCCTCCCTCTAGAATTCCGCCCAAACACCAAAAAAACAAAAGTCTCACCCCACTCCAATAAAGTTCCGCCCAGCCTCCTCCAATACAAAGATAAGCTCCCTTCAGTTAAATGCCCAGCTCATCAAGAAAGGCCAGCCCGCCAGAATTTAGTGGCGCCCTTCTCCAGGCCCAAAGAATCTTGTTCCGCGCCTCCATGAGAATTCCGCCGGCGCCATTTATTTTGATCCCGTGGCAGCTGGGCCTTGAGCTGCCCGTGTCCCTCCATCAATTGGGCTTTAGCCCAATTACTTGTTGTGGAAGAAACATGGATCCAATTCCTCCCGCCATCTCCTGTTTCGGAAGTTCCAGTGCTACCATTTTATCTATCTTTTCACCTAAACACACACCAAAACTCCAACACAAAATGGTAATGGCTTTTCAACCATTACGGATTAATTCTCCCTAAAATAGCACCAATCGGCTTAAACATACCATGAGATAATTACATAAAGTCCAAGAATCCGATATATTAAAGCTGAATATCACTCACCACTTGCAGTAGGTGCTGGATTTGCAGCACATGTGGTAGCCGTAGGGGTTGGATTTGCCACACTTGTGATAGGTGCTGGATTTGCGGCACTTGTTTCAGTTGTGGATGGAGAAGGATCCACAATAGTCCTAGCAACACAAGTAGAAGGTGTTTTTTTGGAAGTGCCGCCTTTTTTAGAAGTGGAACGAAGAGGAAGGGATCCACCCTTCGAATTAGATCCTCCACGAGAAGGACCACTAGAGGGTTTTGTCCTACAAAAGTATAACAATTTGACTTTGTTATGTTAATAAAAATTAAAAACCAAATGCTCCAATCTAGCAAAAGACATATGGTCAAACATAAACAATTCACAATTGTCAATTACTCAATTGATTAGGTCGGCACTAAAATCTAATTCATCTAAATTATAATTCACCACCAAAAGACGTATGATACAAGTATGCTACTATTTTGCTTCACAATTCACTAAAATCTAATTCATCTAATTCACTAAATTCACAAAATCTTCTTGAATTTATCTAAGTCAATTTGCTTCACAATTCACTAAATTCCAATTCATCTAAGTCAATACTAAAATTGTTGAATGTTGATGCTGCTTCTTGTTGAGGGCTGGCTGCTGTTATAGCCTCGAGAAAGAGCTAAAAACTCCACTCTGCCGCTGCTCTTGAGTTCTTGTTGAGGGCTGGCTGCTGTTAGCTTCGTCTAAAATCAACAAAAAAAGGTAGAGATCAAGTTAGCAAACCAATAGGATGCTCCAAAATAATAATGCTATAATTTGTACTTCAGAGGGAGGTCACAGTATTGTGTAAAACTGTGTGCATCCTGGAGACCTCAAAACAAAACCCGTATACCAACCATCATTTACCTTCACCCTTGTTTCCTAATGACCTCAAAACTTGAAACTTCCAAGTTTGTTCCTTCATCCAAATTCATAAGAAGACTAAGCTTAAAACTATATAGCTTCAGTGAAGAAAAAACAATGATAAACCCTTCCCTTGGAACAGAATATTCAAATCGACATCTTGATTCTTGGGTTACCTTCCTATCTCGTCAGATTATAGTATACACTACAGAGAATGTAGCAAACTAGCTAGCAACAATTGTTTGCAAATGATAACCCTTTACTCACAAAACCCTTTACTACAATCATTAGCCATTTCTCACAAAACCCTTTACTACAATCAATAACCCTTTACTCACAAAACCCTTTACTACAATCACATTAGTTACGCAAGCAAAAATATTATTCACAAAAATAAAGTGAGACCTCACAGCAAAATGGGAATTCTCGGCGGAATAGAATCCTGGCGTCGGTTTCAAGAAGCGGCGGCCGACGGCGTAACTCAATCCATCGGGGACTACTGCTGGCTAGTGAAGAGATGAGGAAGACAAGGGCTAGGGATTCGCCTTTCGAACTTGAACTCAGCGGCGGAATTGAACCTGCCGTTGGCTTCAAGAAGCGGCGGCCGGCAGCGTAGTTCTCTCCATCATCGGCGACTGTTGTTGGCTGGTGAAGAGAAGAGGAAGACAGGGGTTGCTGCTGGGTTTCGCCTTTTAGGAGGGAGAGAATCAGAATTCAGAGGAGAAAGGAGATGATCGAGGAGACGAGGACTGGAGTGCAGCGTGCAGCGAGGGAGGATCGGTTTTTCATTAGGGTTTGCCCCAATCCGCTACGCTGCGTTTGCTTTGTGTTTCGGAATTCGGTATACCGGTTTACCGTAGGTAAATTACTGATTGGTATCCGGTATATCATTTGGCCAAATTTTGCAGCTGAATACCCATACCACCAGTATTCGGTATATCGGATACTGGCGGTAACCGGCTCGGTAATCGGTTATGCCGAATACCGGTTTACCAAATACCAGCCCTAAATGTAAGCGTCAAAATGCGCGTGCGGCCATGATCTCTAGTATTAGGTTATGAACGATTGTTATTTATAAAACTATCATTAACATGCAGGGGCGAAGCCAGTGTAGAGGCCGGGGGGCCATGGCCCCCCCGGGAATTTAGAGAGTCATATATAAAACTAGGTATATGCAATTCAATAATGTAACATTTAATTATAGCTTGGCGGAAGAAGCTCATGATTTGGAATAGGAGGTCACGAGTTCGAAACTTGAAGAAGTAATTTGTTATTTTTTTGCCCTTTCAATTTTTATCTTTTCTTTTACCTCTCTTAGACCCTTACTGTCGACCAACCCCTTTGTAATTCACAATCCCCAAAATTAGAAACAGAGCCTTCAGCACTCCAAAAGGCTGAAAGGGCACGACCAACCACCCTCCCTCTTCTCGTTCATCGTCAATCTCTTCCTTTCCGTCCGCCGTCGTGCGGCATCTCCACAGTCCACCCCTCTCAAATCTCCATCTCATCTCCATCGTCAATCTCTTCCTCTCCGTCCGCCGCCGTGTGGCATCTCCAGGCGGCAACAAGACAGAACAACCCATTTGTCTCCAAACTTCATTCTCCATCCCGGATTTCCACCGTACAGCGGTCAACGTCTGAGCGTAGTAAGTTTATTTTCTTAATCTCATTTCAATCTCCTTCCCATCTGTGGTCGGCGAAGTCACAAATCTCCTGCCTAAAGCGTTTCTTCGAGAATGAGTAATTTCAATCTCAATTGAAATTTGATGGGATTCCTGGTTAGGGTTGTCGAAGGTATATGGATGTTGTTTCCCCGTAGCATATATAGATGGCGTGTCTCTTGGAAACTCTAGCTGCTGAAAACTTAAATTAGTGGGAAGAATGATGAATTAGTGGGGATTGGGCGACGTGAGAGATGGTGGTAGGGGGAATCAACCTTAAGCTAGTTCTGTTTTTATCTTTTATTGTTCTTGTTAAAAATGTTAATAACTCATATGCTCTCTGCTTGTAGTTACCATGAAGAGAAAACAACAGAAGCTGGATTCATTCTTTACAAGAAATGTTTTGCCGCGAAGTGATGCTCATTTAGAACATGAAGTACAAGTAGTTCCGAGAGCATTGAACTTTGAGATTGAGGAGCACTCTACTGTTGTGCCGAATGAGATTTTAGAGAGTTCTGCCATTTCTCCTAGAGTGACTAATCCATCGTTCGCCTCTATTGAATGAGAACCTGGATTACGTAAGCCTATGTGGACATTTCCTCCTGACAAACGTAATGAGATAAGGAGAGCTTACTTGAGCTACGGCCCCCTACAAGTTGAACTTCCTAATTTTCCTAGAAGTGGTGATGCTGAACATCCTCATGGCTTTCAACTAGCATGGTATTATGAATTTCCTTGGGTTGAATACTCAGAAGCAAAGGATTTCGCATATTGTCTCCCATGCTATTTGTTTGCTGAAAAGCCTATTACTCAATCTGGTTGGGCTAAGTTTATCAATGAAGGTTTCCGCAATTGGACAAAAGGTTAAAAGTGGAGTAATAACTTGTTCATTTCGAAAGCATATGGGAGAAAGCTCCAATTCTCATCACAATGATGCAGTGAGGAAGCGTGATGCTTTACTAAACCAAAAGCAGCACATCGGCAAAGTGATTGAGAAGCAAAGTTCTGCAGAAGTAAAAAAGAATAGGCTTCGAGTGAAAGCCTCAATTGGTAGTGCTCGTTGGCTGGCACTTCAAGGGGTCGCCTTTAGAGGCCATGATGAGACTCCTCATTCCAAAAACCGTGGCAACTTCATTGAGCTTATTGAGATTTTCTCTTCTTACAATCAAGAAGTCAAAAGTACTGTATTGGGAAATGCTCCAAAGAATGCGAAGTATACATCACCCGACATTCAGAAGCAAATTCTTCATGTGCTAGCTAAGAAGGTACGCAACAAAATATTTGAAGAAATTGGAGATTCCAAATTTTCTATCATTGTGGATGAGGCTTGTGATGAGAGTCAACATGAACAAATGGCTATCATTCTTCGCTTTGTTGATACTCAAGGGCTTATCCAAGAACGATTCTTTGATGTTGTTCATGTTAGAGATACAACATCAATGACTTTGCACACATCAATTTGCTTGACTCTTTCTTCACATAAATTTGTTATTCAGAATCTTCGTGGTCAAGGATATGATGGTGCTAGTAATATGCGTGGTGAATGGAATGGTTTGAAAGCATTGTTTTTGAAAGATCATCCTCAAGCTTATTATGTGCATTGTATGGCTCACCATCTTCAATTAGCACTCGTTTCAGCATCTAAAGATGTGACAGCTGTGCATGAGTTTTTCATAGACTTAGCATTTATTGTAAATGCTGTTAATGCTTCTTCTAAGCGGCATGAGCAATTGGAAGTTGTCAAAGCATCTACGATTGCTCAATTGATAGCAGGGGAAGAGATTGCAACAGGAACATGTGCTAATCAAATGAGTACTTTACAACGAGCTGGTGATACTCGATGGAGTTCACATCTGAATTCTATATCAAGTGTTATTCGATTGTATGAATCATCTTACAAAGTTCTTGAAGACATAAAGAAAGATGGGTATACAGCTAAAAACAAAGGGGATGCTCGTGTGGCTTTGAGGAAGATGTCATCATTTGAGTTCATTTTCACTCTACTTCTACTGAATGATATCTTTGGCACAACTGATACGCTTTGTCGTGCTCTGCAACACAAGTCTCAAGACATTGTGAATGCCATGAGTTTGGTGGAAGTTACTAAAATGGTGTTGAAGGAAATGAGGGATGAAGGTTGGGATTCTTTCTTGGCAAAGGTCATCAAGTTTTGCAATGATTATGGTATTACTGTTCCAGATTTTAGTGTTGCACATTTTGAAGGTCGTCCTTGCAGACAGGTAGATACTATCACAAATGAGCATCATTATCATTTTGACATATTCAATGCTGCCATTGATGTTCAGATAGAGGAATTACGCTCAAGATTTGAGGAAAAAGTGGTTGAACTTCTGAAATTGAGCTCGAGTTTGGATCCTACCAATGGATATAAGGCCTTTGACATTGATGCTATTTGCAGTCTTGCAAGAAAGTATTATCCTCTAGATTTTTCTGAAAAAGAAATAGACAGATTGGCATTCCAGTTGGAGATTTTCCATGGTACTGCTCGTACACATCCTGCTTTGGAGAATCTATCATCTGTCGCCGAATTGTGTCATGGTTTAGCAGAGTCTGGGAAGGCGAAGGACTTTGATCTTGTTGATCGACTGATTCGTCTTGTTTTGACTCTTCTGGTCTCTACTGCTAGTGGTGAACGAGCTTTTTCTGCAATGAAATTAGTGAAGACCAAACTGCGGAACAAAATGATTGATGATTTTCTAGCCGATGGTCTTATTATTTATATTGAGCGGGATATAGTGGACACTCTTAGTTTAGACGATATTTTGAGTGATTTCATTGATCTCAAAGAGCGTCGTGTACGTTTAAGAAAGTGAATATTATATTATATTACTTTTTTTTGGAAACAATATTTTTGGCCCCCCGAATTTAGAATCCTGGCTTCGCCCCTGTTAACATGCATTCAAAGGTTTCAAACGTTATTTTGGCTGATTCAATACATGC